TATATATACATATATGTATATATAAAAGTGCCAAGTTCGTCTAAAGATAAGATAATTATTATTAAAAAAAAAAAATTAAGAAATGTTTATTAAACAAATTAGTACTTTCAATTATCAATTGATAGATACGATGATGATAATTGTCATTATTTTAATTTATAATCAATTATCAAATGATAAATATGATGATGATAACTATCATTATTTTAATTTATAATTATATTGATTATTAGTAAATTATACTGATACATTTTGAATGATCTTTTGAATTTGGTAATACTATCATTATTTTAGTTAATAATTATCTTATTATTCTACTTAATACATGTATAATTATTTTTTTATTTTTGTTTTTGTTGTTTTTTTTTTTTTTTAAATGAATTTGGAAAAATTCAAAGATGTTCAACTGTTTAACATTTGATTCTATTTGTTTTATAGATAAAATCATGAATAATTACATAAATTATGATACGAATTATGATTATTTTCTCTTTTCTATTTTAGAAATGATCAATATTATATTATACATACATATATACATATACATACATGTAATTAGATTAACTATATAGATATATATATGTATAGATATTGTACATATCGAACGACTTATTACGTCCACATATGAAGGAAAGAAAAAAAACACAAGAATAAAATAACAGTATTTTACATATACTAGAGGACGTATGAAATAATTATGCATATCGTTTACATCGTATATATATATATATATATATAAATTAATATATGACATGTATATATTTAAATATGTATATATATACACACACATTGTATATATTATATACATATATATATATACATATATATATATTTTATTACAATCGATAAGTAAGCTTTTAAAACATTTGGCCTGAACGCATGTAATATTAACAAAACAAAACAAAAAAATTAAAAGCAAAAGTTTCAAACATTAAAATTCCCTAGTAATTACGATAAGTATGGTTCATAAATAATAGATAACTTTTAAATTGTTATTATTATTATTATTATTATTATTATTATTATTATTATTACTGTATGATATGTGCCTAATACAAAAAAAAAATAATTTGATGAAATGAAAAAGAGTTTATCAGTATGGTTTATAAATTTATCGTTTTTATCATTTTACTCGTCAAGTAAATCGTTTTTTTTTCTTTTGTTTTTTTTTTTTTTAACGAAAGAATATAATTTAATTAAATATTTATTTTTGTAATTAATATTTATTTAATTATATTAAATATTTTAGATTATTAGATATTTATATATTTTTATATATTAGATTATTAGATATTTTTTTTTAATTAACATTTAAATTATTATATATTAATTATTATATATATATATAATAATATTATATATATATATAATTATATATAATATTAAATATAATTAATTTAATTAACAAATACACTCTATTTTTCTTAGGTGTGTTAATAATATTATAAATCAAATCAAATTTGTTTATTTCGCAATAATTTTGTATGTATGTATATATATATATATATATATTATGATAAAACTCTTTGCAAAAATGTTCATATTTATCTTGAAAATTTCATTTACAATAAAAATAAAAAGAAAAACAAAAACTGTCCTGGAGTAAATTATTTATAGGAAAAAAAAAAAAAAATAATAAATTAATTAATTAAACAAAGTATCATCGTTGGAATGCCATATACGTGTACGAGTTCTTATTGTTCCATCAGCAGATCTAGAAATGCCAGTTAAACGTCTACCAGAATGTTCAGGAGTACCAAATAGCATAACCGCAATGGTTGATTGTCTACGTGGTGCTTGATGATTCGATGATGTTCCTCTATGAGCAAGGTAAGAATCCAAAACTTTGATACTCTCATAGAAACTTTCCAAATCGCAACTTGAATATCTTCTAACTCGTCTACGTTGAAGATTGATGATCTTAGGTGTACTGATAGGTGTATTAGCCATGGTACTTGGATTCGTAGCACCTATAACGCTTGCTGCTTCTGAGACAAATTGAAATTCATCGTGAAGTTTCTCGCAGCTATTGCAAACACTGATGGTTGATATTTTAGTTGCAAAACTGTCACGAGAACAGACGGATACTTTCCTAAAGGATTTTCCTAATGTACCGTAAGGAGTTGAAGCTGCTGTGGATATAGCTGTCGAATTTACGTTACTGATTGACGATGATCTGCTATGTCTGGAACAACTATTACCTAAAAGTTTGATAATTGCATTTTTAGGTGACGATGTATCATCCTCGTCTTCTTCATTTTCTCTCCTCATTTGTTTCCTTTCCGATTCATCGTCAGTCATCGTCACCGTTTGCTCCAAATCTTCGTTCTAAAAATAAACATCAACATTTATGGTAAGAAAATGAAATATTTTGAAGTATAAAACATATCAAAATTCACCATTGAACCATTTTCTTGTTGGTTCTGATTGATCGTTGATTCGTTGATTAAAACCATTTGATTATTGGCACATCCACAGGCACCCTCACAAGAACACCCATCTGTACTTCCATTCAACGAATTACCAACGACGTCGTCCACCTGATGTTCCTTGTCTTCTCCTTGCCCTACGTCTTCTCCTATTACCTGGGATTCTTCTTTGATGTCGTTCGATGCATTCTGAGAGTTGTTCGACTGTGGATCAGAGGAGTCGATCGTGCAGCTCGAACAGGATGCAATGTAGTCCTGAAGATACGCACCAAGGACTTCTGCATCGATCGATGAAGATGATGAATCTTTAATCTGTCTAAATTGATCTTCATTTTGTTGTTGGGATCGAGATAATTCACAACTTGTTCTTAACCAGGCTCGACGTGCTCGACATCTTCTGATTCCAACACTGTCACTGATTTCAGCTAAATCATATGTTCGTTGTTACATTCATTGTTAATATCAATTAATTTTCAATAAAATAATTTGTAAACTTACCAGATCCCGAAGAAGATGATGGTATATCTGAAATATGAAGACCAATTCTACCAATTGAACCCGGAGGAGTAACGTAAGGTGGTGGTGGACTTTCAGGAACTCTTGGATTTCTCCCAGTTGAAGTTGTTGGAGTTGTTTGACTACCACGACTGGTACTGGCACCTTCCAGACACATCGATAATTGTCCCTCTTGCTCGTGTCTCAAATATAAACGTAAAAGGTAAAACATGAAACAAATTAAACGACTTTCTCACAAACTTCAAATAAGGTTGACGTCAACTCACGAACATCTACTCGATGAACTTCTACTTCTTGAATCGTGACTCAAACTTCTTCTCTTTTTTCTTCCAACATTCTCAGATTCTAAACTCAGTTTAACAACTTCGTCGTATCCAGGTGGTGCTTCGTAAACCGGTGGATCATCCGTCACTGAGATTTCATCGATTCTTGCACCATCTGTAATGTCAAACACTGGTCGAATTAACATTAATTATTATCTGTATTTAATAATAGATTATAATTAAATATTTACCCAATAATTCACTGATTGTTTGTAAACGTGATTGCAATTCTCTTTGTTGTCTTGCTCTAGCACCCATTCTGTATAATAATATTATTAAAGCTGATATCAAAACTATCAAGCCAAGACTACTCGCAACGAAAACCAACGTGGCTGTTTTTAAATCTGGATAACGATCGATCTTTGGAAAATAATAATTCGCTTTATTTGTATGCCATTTTCTATCCCTAGGTTCAACGTCCCAATCTGTTGACAAAATTCTATTATAAATTGCTAAATAATTATTTGTTTAGAAAATGTAATTATTTATTAACGTTACCTCTGAAACATGTAGCTGGTTCATCACTGTTGTCTCCACAATGATCAAATCCGTCACAATTTAATTGGCTCGGTATGCATCTGTGATTTTGACACAGAAAGTCGGAGCCCGTGAAACAATCTACTCAATAAATTGATCTTTTTATTATTCTATTTCTTTTTGGAATATTTACAGAATCGTAATGAACTTACCCATGTAACTAAAAGCGGTATAGGCTATAGCTAAATGCGATGTTGGACCAAAAGTACCACGAAGGCTAACGTGAAATCCACTTGTAACAGGTGCTATGTGTTCTCTGTGTCTGAGTGGTTGTAATTGGCTTACAGGATGTCTTAAAATTTCTAATGGTAAAAGGGCTGAAGTGGGGCCTTGTTTAATAGTCAATTCTGTATTACCAGCTGTAAAATAATTATTGTTTTCTTAATATTAAGATAAATTCAATTAAATATAAAATATCTTACCCATGTCAGCAAATGCAACGACTTTTAAATACATATGTGTTTTCATGTGTAGAAAATTTTTCGGTGGTCTGATCAACCATACGCAATCGTAAGTTTTAACACCTTGGCCTACCATGTCCATCATAGTAATCGCACCACCTAAATTTTCAACGTATCCTCCACAATCTGTGATAGGTTGAATTGATTTATCGTAAAGATGACCGATAACGAATGAATAAAATGCTTTGTATCCAAGTCCTGTACCACCGTTAGCGTAAAATCTTATCAGAAGAGAAGGACCGGAACTCACTATCACCGGTGGACGAAATCTTGCACCACTACTAACGTCAAGTCGTTGACCATTCCAATCATAAAACTACGAACATATGAAATATAAAAAATATTTGGAGTATCAGAGAAACTCATACAAGGATATTATTAATTATTCGTTAAATATTATACAATAGTTCAAGAATAATTTCCTTGAAACTGTGTTGTTATACGTCGAGTGTTGTTTAAAGAATAAAATTATAAATAATTCATTTTAATTATCAATTATAATAAAGTTTGTTCTTTAATTAACGTTGTATTAAGTTTCGAGAGAATGAGACGAGTGCATACTATCAAAAATAAAATAATTTATTATATAATATTATTATAATATTATTTGTACTATTCTTTATAATTATTTATTGAATAATTAAAAAAATGCGCGCCTGTAAGAATGCAACCCTCCAGACACACTTTGAAAATGTTGCTTGCGAGCGCCACCTGTTGGGACGGAATATTTTTTTCCGCCCAAACTGTTCATACACGCATGTATCACGGGTTGCCTATCTTTCGGGCAGTAATTATATTATAATTTTATAGAATAGTATATTAGTACAGTATTATAATTTATGTAAATACCTCCATGATAGAAACTGTAGCTAATTGAAAATCACTGAACAATATTCTGATCCTACATGACGGAGCTTCGGATGGACACGTTATTATATATTCCAAACCTAAATCTCTTGGATATCGAGCTGGAAAAAATGGAGACGTTAAAATACCTCCACCTGTACTATTCAAACCTTTCGTAACAGTTGTCATCATTTCTGTTCCTTTAAGATGTAATCTGTTTCCTGAAAAAAATATTTTAATTCTTTAGGTGTATACAAAGATTTTGTTTTTATTATAGAACAAAGTATTTTAAATGTCGTATTTACTTTCGGCCGTATATTCGAGTGTAAAAGCATGTTTATGAGATTGACTGTAAAGCAAAGTGATGGATAACGTTCTGGTACTTGATCTGTACATGATAGGAGAATATAATCCGCAATAAGGTGTACCCGAAACATCTTCGTACGGTGGTTCAGAAATCCAAACGTAATCACACCTGCAAATCATTTCATCAATTTTAAATACAAATGTTTATTGTTAAGAAAATAAAGTAAAAAAATAAAAAAAAAAAGCAAAGGAATGTATTTAAAAATAATCCTATTACCTGCATGGATTATCCATCATAACACCACCATCACCGCAATTTTGAGATAATGCAATATTCTTGAAGGTAACAATTATAACACACGAAGGACAGGTTACTAATTCGAGACTGCATTGATCGTGCGAACTATTTGTCGCATAAATTCTAGATGATTGTTGTCTAGGTGAATTTTTCACGAAGGTTATATTTTTAGCATAAAGTATACCCTTTTCTCCTAATTCCAGATATAAACGTCTGCCATTATGTGTTCCACAAATATCCTCATTTCTCACAACGTTACCGTAAATTACGGTGAAACAATACAACACGATAATCGTCACTTGAATTCAAAAATAAAACATCATTAGAAAAAGAAAAGAAAATTGATCAAGAAAACGAACAATTTGTATTATTACGAAAATCATCAAAATTTCAAATTTCCCGCGCATAGTTTTTTCTTTCTTTTGCGCGCGCATTTCAATTCTTTTTCAAAATTAACGCGGCAATATAATTGTCCAAAATTTGAATAAATTATAATAAAATAAATCATTTACTTACCATACCGAGATTGAAACATATTCGTACGATGGAAAGAAACGTTCTGTTCAGTAAGAAACCCAACATGATTGCATATAATTTCGTTAGCTCAACTCAACTCTGTTACGTACTGTCCTATTAGGGTATAAGGCATTTTTACGGCATCTTCTTCTCGACTAACATACTCATCTATCGCTTAATTTTTATCATAAGTCTAACATAATGGTATTGTTTTAAATAACAAGTTACATATTACATTAAAATATATATATATAAAAATAAAAATAAAAAAATTAAAGAAGACAGAAAATAATGAAAGTTACAAAAATACATGTCGAATTATTAAACGTAGGTGAATATTAAAACATTCTTTTATTGAAAATCGATTCATCTTATGCAAGAATTATAGTCTCTCTCTTTGAACATTTATATAACCAGTTGTTAAAGAAACATTAATTAATTTATTTTTTTTTTCCAATAAACAATAAAAATAAATCTTACAAGATAACATTTATAATTTGTGATATATATATATACATACAATAATTTATTCTTTTTATTAAAAAATAAAAATGATAAATATAGATAATAACTATTGTTTAGTTTATAGATAATCGTCCTTGAACTTTGATAACAATTTAAAAAAGATCGAAACTTTAGTATCGAATAAATCGATAGTTCATATTGCATGGTTGCACTTTCAAACAGAAGGTTGACGTAAATTATTATGGATCCTGATTTATTAACTAATGTAATATCTGATTCTACGATAAGTTCACCAGAAATGGATCTCAGTATAAATCCTGAAAGACAGAGATTTCCCTTTTGCATCGTTTGGACTCCATTGCCTATTATTACGTGAGTTGTTTTTTTTAATACAAACTTAACCTCAAATACTACTGTCAAATATTTAACTTTGAGTTAGTATGTAGTCTCTCTTTGATATTTGATTGTGTTCTTTTACTTTGATTAAATTATTTATTAATGTTGAATGTTTAATTAATTAATAATAATTTTATTTATTATTAAACATAGTAGTATTTAATAATTAATGTATCAGTTAAGAATAAAATGTATTGAATGTTTGTTAATTATCAATTTGCTTATAGTTATTTAATACCATTTATTGGTCATATGGGAATTTGCACATCAACCGGTGTAATAAGGGATTTTGCTGGACCATATCATGTGTCAGAAGATCACATGGCATTTGGAAAACCTATTAAATATTGGCAGCTTCAATACACAAAAGCAAAAGGTGGTGTAAATGGATGGGATATGGCTGTTTCAGAAGCCAGTGACATTTATAAAGACAGAATGGTAAATTGATATAACTCATAATTGTTATTATAAGTTTTTTTTGTTTTTCTTATTAACCTATGCTTAATCTTTCAGCATAATTTATTTCTGGACAATTGTCATTCACATGTTGCAAAAGCTTTAAATTTAATGGCTTATGATAATTGTACAAAATGGAACATGGTTAAACTAGCCGCTCTTATGTTTATAAAAGGAAAATATGTTAAGTGAGTATTATTTTCATAATTTATTAATTAATTATAGAAACTATTTGTCTCATTAATTTTAATGAATTTCATTTGTTACAGTTTTTATGGTTTTCTACAAAATTGGTTGCCATTTTTTATACTTGTCATCATCGTAGTGACACTCGATTTAGTTTTTCAACTATAATTTATACCTGTTCATTACATTAAATACTTATATGAATAAGTAATAATAAATGTTAACGATTTTGTTAGATATAACATTTTATATACATTTCAAAATATTAATTAAGATTATATAAAATCTTTTGTTACATATTTAATATACTTATTAATCTCAAATTACTACGAAAAACAAGTTATATGTAAATATGTATTTAAAGTATTTATATGCGCGCGAACAAGTTTTATGACTGTAATAAGTTAAATACTAAAATGTTAATATTTAAAACTTTGATCAAAATACTTTTTTACATTTTATTTTATATTAAATGTTAAATAATGAAATTCTTTGCAATAAGCTAATAGTTTATTTGAAAATAATTTTCAAATTTTGTTACACGTATTTAATTACATTAGTTAATGGCATTTAATCATTGTCAACAGTGATAAATATACTACAGTTTTGTAAACAATATTTACATTGACACACTTGCTATTTTATTATACAACTAAAATAAGAATAAAATCAAGAATATATACACTTGTGTTCTATTTGTGTTGTGTATTTACTTACAAAATTTCTTCCTGAGTACGTAAGGAAATATAATTATTATATTATATATTGCAAGTGTGACAATATAAATATACTTAAAAACACATTGTAATTAGTATGCGAATGATCTATCTTTCATAAATATTTCTTAAAATATACATTATATTATCGTTTAAAAAATATATTTCAATTATATTTAATAGAGCCACACGCTTGGAACTATGAAATATATCTAAATTCGCAATGAGAAATATTTAATAATATATAATAATACATAGATGCAATATACAAAAAAAAAAAACAAACAAACAAACAAAAGGAAATAGTGTTAATAAAATCTAATTATTATAATAATGCTTAGCGTTATAAAAAAAAAATTACATTCAAATTTAATGTGTATTTAAAAAAAATAAAAGTAATAATTTAAATACTAGAATTTAATATAACAGTATGTATATACTAAATAAAATACATTAATTTATCTTATACGTAAAAATACACATTTGAACAAAAATTATTTTTCATCTATATATATTTAATATTTGAATAACATAAACTACTCATCACTAGTGCTATTCATTTCTGCTATGACACTCTTTTCGTGCGTAAAATCATAGTCCAAATTTAGCTCATCTATTCGTTGAATAAAAGATAAAATTTCATTAACACGAAACTTCTCAAGTTCTAAATCATTTCTTTCCAAATTTTTCGATAATTTAAATGGTACTCCATTGAAATATTGTATCGTATCACTTTGATTATTTTTCGTAGTATCTGTAGGATAAGTTGGATAATCTGTAACCTTATTAATTAAAGGATATAGGTTACTACTAGAAGGAGGTGTTCCATCTTGAGTATTTGGAGGCACAGGATATGGTGGTGATATTTCAATTTTTTCAAATTCATTGTCTATGTTGGTTGATGTAAGATCCTCCGTTGACTCAACCGGTGATTCCTTTTGTTGTTTCTTTTTACCAAAAAACCACGACATTTTCTACAATTCATTTTAATAGGTTATCATCAAAATAATAAAGTTTATTAATCATTGTACATGATTTATCTTGGAGAAAAATTATAAACTGTACAGCAAATAGAAAAAAAAAAGAAAAAAAACAAATTTAATAACAAAACACATTACTTACGTGGTGCAACAAAAAGGAGAAATAACAATAAAGAAAAAAGAACACAATCTGAATTATAGTCCTTTAAAACTGTCTACACTTTTTCTTTAGTATGGTATTGTCGTATTAAACAAATTCTTGATCAAATTTATTATAATATATTCTTATCTATCATAACCTTTCATTGTAACAGTCAGATAGTTTTATAAAAGTCACAATTCTGCTAAATATAAAGAGAAATAATACGTATGTTTAAAGTTCAGCAAGTAGCTATTGCAGCTGTTAGATGGCGACACTATGATCAATTCAAAGTGCATACAAATTAAAATCAAGATTAGTGCAGTTACTAGATGGCGATACTGTGATCAATTTAAAATACATATATGTCAAATGTATTAATAAAATTCGTGCGTGTATTGATAGTTAGTGTCGCCATTTATTTTAAATCGTTCGAATAAGGAAGAAATTGACAAAGTTTTATTTAAAATAATATTTATCGATCGTCAAACATATATAATTTTTAATAAATCACATTATTAAAAGTGAACTTAACGAACATTTCAAAAATTTAACATATACACGACGTGATACGATAATGCATAATTAAAACAATTCAAATAAACGCGCGTAAATTGAAGCTCTTTTCTAATTGGCCGACAAGGTGCATACCATATGATTCATCAAAACAAACCACCATCGTTCGACCAATAAATGGCATTTTCTTTTTATGCGACACAAAGTAGTAAAAAATTGGTGATACCTTTAATTGACGTTACCAACAATCGTTCGTTTCATTTACTTCATGGGTTTCTATATCACATTTTGCATTGGGTAAACACGACATATAAAATAATCGTTCATGAATAAAGAATTATGAAGAAAAGACAATAATCCAAATAGAAGAAAATTAAACAATGAAATTCACAATCGTTCCCATTGTTTTGTATTCGTTTGATAATAAGTACATCGATGTGTGCAAAGTAAGATAGAAAAAACGAGATTTCTATCATGTTCCATGATAGGACGTGACCATTATGAATCGCATTGTTTTTATGTACACACTGTATCACCCCCTCCACCCCTCCCTTTCTCCATTTCTAAGCCCATTCTCCATGTGCATTCGCGCACGCGTGTGTGCAGAGAATGGTTGGTTCACGTCTCGAATCGCGTTTATCTCTTTCTCTCTCTTTCTCTTTCTCTTTCTCTTTTTCTTTCTTTCTCTTTCATTTACTCTCTGCATGAGATATCCAAGTAACATCCGGTGCTTTGTTTTTTCGTGATCTGCGACTTGCAACGGTCGAATTTTTCTTTAACAACCAACACACTACGGATTCAACAGGAAAATATATGCATACATATATACATATATATTTATATTGGTAAAATAAATATTTAGAAATGTGAGACAGATATTGAAGATTGAGAGAGATCGAAAGAATTGAAAGAGTATGTTTTCCATACACGAGAAGGTGTGGCAGGCAGGTTTGCAACGGTAAGGTGAATTTCGATTGAGAGAACGTGGTTGTATTTTGACAGTCAACTTTGTGTCTTTCTTCTTATCTTTTTTTTTCTTTCTTCCCTCTTTTTCTTTCTCTTTATCTTTCCGCCGTTTCTTTTTTTATTTTTTTTTTTGTACTTCAGCGTGGCATCGAACTCTTTGCATCGTTTTATCTCATTGAAGAAGATCATCATTGGTACATCACGTTTGAATGTTTTGAGTTTTGAGTTTTTTAAAAATTAGCGCCATTTGGTAGCAACTACGTAAATCAATTGAGAATTTGTTTATCTTACAATCAATTGATTTAAAGATACACATATATATATAAAATTAGCGCCATTTCGTTGCAACTACGTAAATCAATTGAGAATTCGTTTATCTTACAATCAATTGATTTAAAGATATATATATATATATCTACATAGATTTAATGATATTAGATTAGTAATAAATATTTTGTTGTTGTTGTTGTTGTTGTTGTTGTAGAATTAGTTATCGTTTATATCTAAATATATAGAACAAACAAAGAGAAATATATACACCGAGTAAGGMATAATAATAATAATAATAATAATAATAATAATAATAATAATAATAATAATAATAGTAGTAGTAGTAGTAGTAGTAGTAGTAGTAGTAGTAGTAATAGTAATAATAATCGTGTGATAATAATGATACTGACCATGTTGTCGGTTGTCCGAGTACTTAAGTAATTACGCATTTCGTTAGTAATAGAGTATTTAAAGGTAAAAATAAAACGTTAAGGATTACGTCACGATTGATAGGAATGTGCGGTGTGTAAACATAAACCCGTAGTTTCCGTATATCCTACATATGTATAAACATACTACGATATGAAAACAATGTCGAGGCCAGTGACGGATGACAACACGAAGAAAAATGAAATGTAATAAAAAAAAAAAATAATAAAAACATTAAAAAGAAGAAGAAGAAGAAGAAGAAAAAGGAAAAGAAAAAATAAATAACAGTAATAATCAGATCTTCTGTACACACTCATTACCACCACCATTAACACCATTACCACTAACACTACTATTACTTTGCTTATTGCATATCTACATTATAGTATACGTGTATCTTATATGGATAGAATTTCATAGAAAAACGTAATTATATTTCTTCAAGCTTGACATAACGTTTTATTAATGCATATACATATATATATTATATATTATATATATATGTGTATACACACGTATCCTTGAATAAAAAAAGACAATGAAACGAAATGAATCATCGAAATCAAATGATTAAACGCAAATCGTTGATCTACGTTCAGGTGATACAGTCTGTAAATAGGTACACTCTGTATGTCCATCGATAATTCATTTATCGCGGCCAGGTCATGCTAACATAAGCGTTATAATACTTGCCTAGCAGCAACATTTACAAGCTCGCTATTCTTGTCGATCGAAACTGGAAATACCCGTATCGCGAATAGATTAGAAATAGATCTTCACAATTTTTTTTTTGTCGCACGTTTTCTGACTTCAAAAGAAACAAGAAATTGACAAAAACAAAAACTAAAGGCAAATAAACCACACACAAAAAAAAAAAAGCAAAACAAGAAGTAGTAATTAATTGATTTACGTAAATCGTATAAATAAATAAAACGATAAGTTAATAAAAAGTATTGGCTAATAAAATACATTACTCTTGTAAAAATACTACTGTGTAAATATGTATGATCTTTTTTTTTTATTTTTTTTTTTTTCTTATGTACTTAATTCTTGTTTCTTTTTTCTTGCTTCTTTTTTGTACTTTTTTTTACTTTAATTTACGTAGATATGTATGTAGATACAGTGATAGAAAAAAAAAGAAGAAAAAACATGAAAAACAATATTTAAACGGAGAATAAATTTTCTTAAAACGTATTCTTTTACGTGAATAAGTAAAAAAAAAAAAAAAGAAAAAACATACGTACTTACGTACGTACGATTTGATAAATTAAATTTTTTTTTTTTCCCGTGTAAAATTTATCATTACTCGATAGTTTTAAGTTAAAACATATTTTAAAAGGCATTGATAATTAAATGATTATGATATATATATATATATATATATATATATGTAGTAAAAAAAAAAAAAAAAACGATAATAGAAACAAAATATTTAAAACTAGTTTTTACTCGAACGCTTATGTGTTGTGTATTAAAAAAAGGTAATTTTTTTTGTGTATGTTTTTTTTTTTTTAACTGTATATCAATATATTTAATTTGCATGACTAAAAATGTACTTCAATTTTTAGACTAAAAGAAATACATATATCTAAATAGAAAAAAAATATAATATATATATACATATATAATATATAGGACATTCCACGTCAAATCGACCACTTTTGACCCCGTCCCCTTTCGATTTTGTTAAAATTTTTTTATCTCTTTTATCATCATTAAAAAAAATTTTGAGAATTTTTTAAAATTTTATTAGACCAACCCGAAAAAAATTATAATTTTCCCAAAAATCAGAATTTTTGTTCCATTGATTTTTCAAATAGCCATAACTTTGTAAGAAATAGACTTACCACGTTTTTTAAAAGACCGATTTTGAAAAACAAACAGCATTGCTTCGTATAAGGCTACGCAACTGCTAAGTTCCTGAAGTAAAGTAATATTTTAATTAATTTTTAGTGAAAAAATATGTGTGTGCCTTCAGAAATGCCATTAAACAAACATATATTAAAAATGAAACAATTTCAGGAGCTGAAGTAGAAAAAAWTTTCAAAGGTTTGTTGTTAAATCCAACGATGGTCACCTGAAACAAAAAGAAAACTATATTAATTATAGAATCAAGTGAGATACAATAGCCTGACATATGAATCGTCCAGATGCATTTTTCAAATTGAATTCTCTATTTATTCTTATCAAATCTCTATTTGAAGTTAAAATAAAATTGAATTTAAACGCGTGATTTTACATTTACAAAATATAAAAAAAATAAAAAAGTAAAAGTAGAAATATTAAGTTACTAGAGAAAATAATATCTATTAATTATTATAAGTATACTTTAAAATTGCATTATATAGAAAAGGAAAAATTACAAATTTAATAAAATACGATCAAAGTGAAAAATCTTAAAGACAAAAAAAAAGAGAGATTACTTTAATATTCAAAAGACGATAATTAAATTTCAAGATATAAGAAAAAGGGAATTTAAATATTTTGACTCGAACTAACTAAACACATATGCATCTTTTTGACGATATAGACACACATTTGGTGTCCTAAGGAGATGGAATGGTCCATCATCTCCAATTACAACTAGAAATTAATGACGAGCAAAAAGTAAAACAATAAAATATAAAATATGACTAAAGAGCCATTCTCTAAAGGTTCAAACTTGCTGTTGAACCTTTGAAAATAACTCAATAGCCTGTAGTTGCCCTCTTGAGCCACAATTAAGTGGGGGCCTCTTCGGCATTAAGCCTCTTCTTTCTTCATTCCATGAAAACTGCATTTGGACATTTCCTACGTGCGAGCAAGATAAGATCTTTCATACTAATTTTGCAAATGAACTTGTATTTTATTATGATTCTAATTCTCAATTATTACMAAATKAATTTACATTTCGCGTTCACTTTTCTAGCTCGTGGACCATCAATGAACATAGAGTTTATTGATCATACACGAGAACATTTAATCGAATGTCCAAGCAGATAATGATTTCCCTTGATGACCTAATAACACTTCGCACTATTAACGTCGAGCAGTAAAACCA